TTGATTTTTTTTCAAAATTTAATGGGAAAACAGAAGAGAGAGTTTTTACAGAATGACGGAAGGATCCTAAATGAAAGAAAGTGTGAAAAGGGCAGTGCAGTGTTTCAGCTCTATCTTGCTGTGCATACTGAGGTGAAGAGAATGTGTCCTGGGGGATGTTGGGGGGCAGAGACCCCCATCAACCCTCCCCTCGGTTATTGCCCGAAGGACATGCCCAATCACAGCAACTTGGACCATAGAGTAAATTTTTTGTTGGTTACTCTGTGCACTTTCGCTTTCTTATATTCAAATATGGCAGCATAATTGGACACTCGCATTTTAGAAGTGAAATTTCTTCGATTTTAGAATGTAGGAAGTTTGGAAGTTTGGCACACATTTCTTTAACCTTCGTAAATAGGAAATTTGGCTTGCATTTCCTAAAAGTCATTGCATTCATATAATTGGTCATTTACTTACCCAGAATTCAAGCTGAGCCCACGTTTTAACTCTTAAAAAAAAAAAAAAAAGTTCCTAATGTGTTCCCCAAGACTCTATTGGGTGGAGTTTTGGACTTGGTCTCTGTTGTGTGCATCTGTACCGTAAAGAATTACCAGAATACCTTCGCATAACCAATCATGACAATTTTGGTATCGATGGATTCCTCTCAGCCTCTACTATCCAAATGCAATGAAATTATGCCACAGACCCCCCCCCCCCCCCCCCCATAGCGAAATCTTGGCAGGGGAAAGTATGACCAACAATTTGGGAGCATCTGATGCCGAGCCTGTCCGATGCTCCATCCTGCCGCAAATACCTGGAGGACTTTTTGTGTTCCTGGCCAGGGATTGGGGCCCCATGGGAGGTCGGAGAGAGCACAGCCTTACATAAGCTCCATGCAGCATTAGTTCCGATCTATTTTTTTTCATTTCTGACACGAGTTTTTGGCTACACAGATCATTTCATGTACTGGTGAATGTATTTTTTCTTGCTGATTATTGTGGTGCTATTACATTCTCCTGTAAATGTCTATTAAAGTATTACATGTCATTACATTTCAGTCATTTTGTCCATTACAGGCAAATTTTATCATTTACTACAGGGTGGATGGAAACTGAGACTATACCGATTTTATAAGTTTCATTTCCATATTTTCCTAGTAAAAGAGTAATTACCATGCACTAAAGCTTTACCAGGTTTTTCAATGTTATGAAGATCATTAGCTTGTTACTTGTCAAAGAAAGAATGCTGTTTAATTGGTCTCTTAAGCTGATAACTGTGATTTGAGTTGCTGGCTTAACCTCCTGTGCAAATTTAAGAGGAAAAATAGTAATATTCAGTAAATCATTCATTTAATTCATGGTTTGGCTAGGTGAGGTTCCTATGTATAATATTTTGATCACAAAATGAAAATTAGATTATCAAATTTGTAAAGGAATTAGTCATATTACCCTTTTATATGTTTACCTGATAGGGATAGTGAATTTTGGCGGTGATTTATCAGTTCTGAAACAATCATTAGTCTTTTACAAACCCCCCCCCCCAAAAAAAAAAAAAAAAAAAGGGAAGTGATAGGAAGGGAATAGTGAAAACATTTTATCAGGTATGAAAAATCAGGGTGGTTCTTAAATGTATGGGCTAATTCACCAGAGACTTAGTCCCCAACTCCACATAACAAAAATTATTAATAATCTAAGTCACTGTTACACTACCTAAAGGGATGGTTGATGGCCCCAACAAGCATTGTCTTCACCTCGGTATGCATGGCAAAATAGATCTGAAACTCAGGAGGAGGGAGTGGACTTAGGCAGCAGTTTCCATGATCTTCGTCCTTTGTCAGTACCATTCATGTCTGCTTATTGTATCTTGTACTGATGACTGCAAATTGTTATCCTCTATAAGAATATCATTCAGTTTTCTGTGATACGACCTGTGGCCCCAGTCAAAGCAAGCAGAAATAGGATCCTGAGCGTGGAAATTGCATCCTCCCTGGAGTCCCCTTCCAGTCATGGCTCACAAATGGTTCATTCCATACTTGTATATTGATGAAAATGATTTAAAAGCCCATTTCCAAATGGCAAATGAGCCTAATCACCCTACTTTGTGCATTCGTGATGAGTCTTTCCTGTCACCCTGAGTCTTCAGCAGAAAGTCTCAAGACAGCATGTTCATGTCACCCTTCAAGCCAGATTCTTTCACAATGTGATAGGGACGTCATGCAGATCATAGTGATGAAAGGCAAATGAGAAAGATGAAAATAACAGATTTCTGTAGTTAAGATATCTTAGCTGAAGCAAAAGATTGATAGATCTTATATCGTACTAGTATAAGCAAATCTAAACTAACAGACCTAGAAAAGCGCCATTCACTTTGGCTCCCCTTGGCGCTCTGGCAAATGCAAGCAAGCTCCTCCACAGATACTGGCAAAATGTTGCTTGCAGATGTCCTTGGTGTTTTATCATCAAATAAAGAACCAGACAAAGGTCTTTCTTGACAGAAAAGGCAATAGAGATTTGGTGGTCTTTTCCTGTGAGCCAGCAGGTTTGGGGTTCAGCAGTTAGTTCGAGCATGTACACGTCAGTATGTATACCATAGAATATATTCACAGGAATGTTATCCACTTTCTTTGCAATAATTTGTGCCAGGTCAATTGACACATAATGGCTATGGCTAGGATAGAGGAAACGACTGCTCTGATTTTCTGCGGGGTCTCGCAGTCTATTCTATTTCGATATTTTACTTTTCTGATGAAACCAGTCTATCTACATTACCATGACATAGGGCTGGTACAGTCTCTTACACTAGTAAGGAAACATTTTCATGGATAAATGAAGCCAAATTGGGAGGATCATCATTAGGTCTGAAAATACCGGCAGTAGTCATTAAGATTAACTTCTAAAAAATTGGCTGGGTGAGGGGAATATGCTATCATTTAAAAGTTTGACTGCTACTGGGGTGATATGAATGACTCGCCATGAGTGTATAAATCTCTTGGAGGAGGATTAAACTCATTGGGCGTTTAGAAATGAGCTCGTGCATTATTTCTGCTGATAAATGAGGGTGGAATGTACCATTCATGAGCCATGGGTGGAGGAGCATCGTCTCCCAGAAGGACATGGTTTCCGTGGACAAGATCCTTCACCTGTTTGCCATGACTGATGGGTTGATCTAGGTAGTTGAATGTGTTTGATTAGTTAATCAAACTTGAGGAACTAGGTAAAGATTGACAATAATTGCACCATTGTCTGTAATTGTATAATCCATCTCCCCCCACACACACACACACACACACACACACACACACACACACACACACACACACACACACACACACACACACACACACACACACACACACACACACACACACACACACACACACTTGGGGTTGAATAGTGCTGAAGCCTTGGTAGAATCTCGGATAAGTTTCTTATTTTTAGTTACCGGTCTAGATGTGAATGATGTTATTGACTCACTTATATTTGCACTTGCGTTGACATTATATGATCAGGAGTAGAATACTTTAGAGGTAGGGCGGATTTGAAACTTATGTGTATGGATTTTAGTAATGGTTAGATAAATATGGCAAATTTGTATTTGAATTAGCCTCTACCATTTCACATTTTTATAACAGGGCTTATTTTCTGAAAATGTATACATAGTATTTAACCTCTACTGCCTCTCCCTGCACCATCAAGTGCATAAGAAAGTTTTATAACATGCTCAGTGAATGTGACATGTTTTCCCAATTGCAAGTGATATATGAGGCAGTGTCTTGAACTTAAGTAATACTTAGAAAGATATGAAGTGGGAAATACACTGTAATGCCATAATGACTAAGGAATACAAGTGAGGTAATATTATAGGTGGTTGAATCATTTGTTGATATTGATACTTAAAAAAGATAAGACATGGGTCATACAATACAGTTGCATAAAACCTAAGGAATGGAAATGTAGGAAAATGTCTTTAGCATTGAAGGATAATTAGCAATAACTATATTAATACAAGAAAGGGTTAATAAGTCATTAATCAGTTATTCAAATTAAAGGAGTATAGATTTATTTGTTATTATGATGTTTTAAAGTTGATTTTCAGATTTGAGTTAAGTTTAAACAATTTGGAATGTAGCAAAAAGGAGATTTGTGTTTGGACTTGTACAAGTTATTTCGGCAATAAACACAGTATTTAAGACTTGTTAAACTCATAATAGCAAAGTATCGTCAATGCAACTTCAAGGTTCATAAGTAAGAGAGTGTCTCTAACATCATCAATGATAAATAGTAATCTCTTGAGATTAGTAACCCTCCAGGTTTGCGGTCCAGTTACAGTTGTTTATGGCAGGTGGGGTCCAGGTCTGACTAGGGTCAAGTGTGCAACTGGGGTGAGAGTGGGAAATTCTAGGATACTGCAGTGCTACTATATAGGCACTGTCATATTTAGAAAGTTAATGACAGGAAGTTGAAGAATAAGAGAGAGGTGGATAAAATTCCTTCAGTAGACCGAGTATTTTACTGAAATATAAAGAGGATTTGTTTGGGGGTGAAGTAGTTTATAGAATTGTGTTGGAATACCACCATAAGTATTTAAATTTTAACATTATTTTTCATTTCAGGTATTGCAATCGTGAGTTTGATGACGAAAAGATTTTGATACAACACCAAAAGGCGAAGCACTTCAAATGTCATATATGTCATAAAAAGCTTTATACTGGCCCTGGCCTATCCATTCATTGTATGCAGGTAAGTAACGGTGTGTTTGCTGTTAGTGTCTTGTTAATATTATTGCATTGATATCTATATGTTTAGATCATATTTTTTCCTGTCTTTAGATTTATTAAACTGTCTATATTTCCAATTTCCGATGCAGGGCATTGTGAACACTTGATCTTACTCTTCCACAGGTCCATAAGGAAACGATAGACAAAGTTCCCAATGCACTTCCTAATAGAAATAATATAGAGATTGAAATATATGGAATGGAGGGGATCCCAGAAGAAGATGTGAAGGAGCATGAGAGACAGAGGGCAGGTAGAACGGGCAGCGGGGGCAAACGGCAAGATGAGGATGATGATGATGACTCCCAGTCGAGTCTACCAGGCCAGTCGAACCCACCGCCTCCTAATATGCCCCCTCAGGGACCACCGGGACCCATGGCACCCATGGGCCCTATGATGGGGCCAGGGGGTCCTATGATGCCAATGATGGGCCACATGGGGCCAATGAGTCACATGCCCCCATACATGAGTGGCCCTGGCATGATGGGACCAATGGGCCCAATGGGTCCCATGCCTCCCCCAGGGGCACCGCCTGCCAACAGTGCACCAAACACCTCACAACCACCAAGCAAACCTCTGTTTCCATCAGCAGCACAGGTAAGGCCATTCTGCTGCTTGAAAATTTTAAGGAAGTCAGTGTTGCTCAGTTAATGTATAGGGATGCAGGGACACTTGCTAGTGAGTAACAAAGTCCTGTTGACAGCCTATCAAGTTCTCTTTCAGTAAATATGCATTCATAGAAATTGAATATTATTTTACTATCACTTGGGAGTATACCCATGTCTTTCCACTTCCAAGAAAAGAGTTTACCTATTATTCAACTTTTACTTGTTCTTATCATATGTGACCTATATGTAATTCTGTCTTCCCAATATCCAGTTATCTGTGATGGGCACTGAAGGTGTTAATAATTTGGCTGAGCTGTGTGTATTACGAGTTTCAGGGAGAAATATTCTATTTGTACGGGAAGAAATACATTTGGGTATTTCTAGTTTAGCAAAAAATTAATAAATAAAAAGAAGAAAAGAAAGCTGCAGCTAGGAAATAGGATCTGGTGTATATAGTCCCCCAGCTGATGCTAACTAATGGCATAACATCTAACAATTAGTGCATAATTCTCAGTTTCACATTGGTATCCACAGATTCAAGCTACTTCCATTTCTGGATCTCTTATTTGCATATGCAACACAATGCACTCTATACCATGTCTGAAGCCTTTTGTATACAGAAGGGGAAGGATCGGCACATTAGTAGTGTGCATGCATATATCTACTTTAATCTTTTGTGCTTTTGAGTGTTAGTCTTATAACTTTAGTGATTATTTTGAGATTTTGAGATGGTTATATGATTGCTCAAGTTAATGGATTGCATCAACTGTTTATTAGATTAAAAATTTGTCCCAGCTTTACTTTTATTGACATCTTTATGTGTAGTGTTGTAATTTATATTTCTTGTCTGGTTTGCTTCATGGATGTTATCCTTATAGATCTTTTGCTCTGTGGTTCATCATTTGTCCGTGGAAAGGACCTCTTCCCTTTTTCTTTGCTGGAAAGTAGAGGAGGACGAGCAAAATATATGTTGTTTTAGATTCCTGGAAGTTGCCTCATCTGATATGCAGGTTGTTGCGGAAAAGGAGTACGGACGATTAGCAAGGGAATCTGTACTGTGATTTTCTTTTCAGCATACAACTACAGCCAACAGTCAAATTGGTCCAGTCAAACCAGCATTTCCAGCCTACAGTCAAGCAAATGGACAGTCAGCACCCAATAGCCAAGTTTCAAGTGGCAACACTGGAATCCAAGAGAAGGAGTCCAAGAAGCCTGCACTGATCACCACTGTGTCGGCCAATTCCCGCATCATCCACCCAGAAGAGGACATATCTCTGGTATGTGGGGGCAGGTGCAATCTGAAGCTGTTCTCACGGTGACGCTTTCCTTCTCTAGTTAGCCTAAAGCCAGTATTTATTTTTATCTTACTTCTTAGGGGTATAGTTTGTGTGTTCTGCTATGTACTAACTTAAAATCAATCAGGTAAGAAAGAAAAGATAATTGTCGTGTAACTGGTAGTGAATTACTTAACATGGGTGCAGCAAGGAAAACTGCTTTCTTGCCTGATCATTTTTGTGCTGCTGCTATTGCACGTTCTAATGATTTTGTATTGTTCTCACTAATGCCTCAATTCAACTATAGCACATGAGTGAGAGTGGTTAAAGCATTATGTTGTTGATTTTTATTGCATTTGTTTTATTAAGTAAGAAGCACATTATTGTGGTTGATTAAATGTCCATAAAGTGTGTAATGAATTAAGGCCTGTGTGAGCTGTTTGTGGGGTGTTTGTTGGTTAGATTTTGATGACCAAGTTTGGGAAGTTGTAATCACTTGACAAAGTTGCTTTCAAATTTCTGATGATACACTTTTTTTTAATTTTACAGTATACAATCACTTTCATAGATTCATGGACAGGATGTTAGGAATTCATCTCTATATGATGCTGAATTAAACACCCAAATAATCCATACAACATTACTATTTTTTTTAGTTCTTTGACCCTTCAGTTTGACCCTTAAGCTTAATAAAATATCCCTCATTTGATATGGTAATTTCACAAGTATTTTAGCTGGATGATCACTTGAGTTGCTATTTGTGTTACTAATATGCATATTCAGTGTTAGGTGGCAGTTTTAGCTATGCTGAAGAGTCACATTCACATGCAGATTCGTATTACTGGTTATTTTTGTTTGTGCATTTTTTTAAACCCATCTACTAGCCGAGTAGCTTGTTCTTTTTACATGGGCGGATTGATTTCCTCTCACTCTTTTTTATGTTCAGAAGAGAATCACAGAAGACGGGCAGCATTTCAAATATTGCTTTTAAGTAGTCTGTCCTGTTTTTTTTTTTTTGGCAACAAAAATAGTTTTAATTTGACATCAAGGGGGTTACATTCTCTCAGCTTGGTGCATGTGTGGCACAGCTGTTATCATTGTCTAGGGGAGGAGGTCCCAAAGCATTACTTAAAGCTTTGTGTGGGAGTAGATTCACTATAGGACATCATCTCAGAAGCATTTACATGAAAATACTTTTTTTTTTTTTTTATAGAAGTAATACATACTTAGATGGTAGTTGTCTTTATATGTTTTTGTTTCCCCTGTCGAGAAGTAGGTTTAGTTTGATTCATTTCCAAGATATGTTTTCTAATCACTAACGTTTCAGGATGAGTGAGTGAGAGTTTATGCATGTGAGTTTAAGTTTTTGATAATGAAACTCATTAAGAAAGACACAAAATTCCTTATATTATCCTCTGAATAATAAAGTGAAAAAAAAAAAACTTGGCATATCAAATTTTAGCAGCCATAGTTCTAGATAGATATGATTAGTTAAACTGCTTGCAGTAATATATGCTGAATAGGATACCATATATTAAAAGCTATAATTTTTAAGAAAAATCATTTTAGGATGTTTCAAAAATGCTTAGCTTGCATAAAGTTGCAAAAAAAATGGTTGCTGTCAATCATATTATAAGCTCTGAAACTGACTGATAAAGTTCACAAATATGTAGCAAAACACCTGAAAAGAAAAATTATGTCCTATAATTACTTAATAAGGTTTACCAAATATTTCCCTTGACTTCTATTAGTCTGCATTAACTCCCCCCTAGCTTGCTCACCCACCTCACATAAAAGTAATAAGTTTGAGTGAAATTTGCATGAAGGGGGCAGCACAGAGCTCAGAGTGGGAGGAACTAGGGTTTGGTCCTAAGTAGGTACCCATCTGCAGCCGACACGAGGTGGGTGCTCACCCGAAATAATGACGTCTCCTTGCTGCATCCCCATGTTGAGTTTTTGTTTCATGTATGAGGTGGACTGGGAGATTTCACTTGATTCATTTGGGTAATCAAAAGCTTGTTCATGTTAGTACTGGCAGTTAATAACAGTATTATTTTATGATCTAATTTGAGGGGGATATTGAGTACTGAGGATGTATAATTCGGGAGTAAGATTTGATGAAAGTCGGGTCATCTCAAGTAGTGGGTAGGTATTAGAAAAGCTTAGAAGATTTTTGTACTTGGTAGGCAGATAATATATTTAAGCAACTGGAGAGATGCTTTTTACTTGACTTTAGCAGCTCAAACTCATGAATTTATTAGTCTTGGACAGTGAAAATCACTTTGTCTGAAATGCTTGATGGCATTATTTTTTCCTTTTTTCTTATACATTTTAAAAAAAGGTCTTAGTATCATAGTGCTGCATGTAAAAGACACTCTTGCTCGTATGTAGGCAAGATCTGAATGAGATGGTGAGGATTATATCTTTCCAGCTAACAAAGGTGTAGATATTTCTTTTAAACAATCTCTTTAAGTAGTGTGACGGGCCTCCTGCTATCAGTTAACACATTTGGCTCATGATATGTCAATGTTATGTGGTGCATGGTGAAGCATCAGTAATATCCCAGTTATTGTGGTAAATACAACTTGTGTTGAATTTGTTTATTTTTCATTAGTAAAAGGTTTTGACACCTTTCACATTCGCTAGCTGAATAAACATGCCCGACTGGGTAAAGCTTGTATAAAGTTCAATCACATTTGCCTTGATTTTTGCTTTTTATTTTGATTTCATTTATGATTCTTAGCATTCTCAGAATGACGTAGCAAAAAGTTGATCTCCGGTTGTTTTCCGTTTGCTTCATTTTCCACAGATAAATTATTTCTGCTTAGTTTGCAAGACCATCATAGTTGTAATTTCCCAATAACCTGGATTAATACCAAGAGAGGGAGAGACTGTAGGGGGTTGTGCACTCTGGTTGACCTTCTCTCCCTCTCTTCTCTTTTTTCTTTTTCCTTGGGATTAACAGGTGATTTTGGGCTCTCAAGCTGCTCGCAGACTGTCCTCACGCCCCAGCCAACACAACCAGGGCAATATTTATTTATTTATTTATTTATTTATTTATTTATTATTATTATTTTTTTTTATTATTGTTATTGTTATTGTTATTGTTGATTATTACTACTACAACTATTATTATTATTTATTTTTGTTATTACTATTATTGCTATTATCATTATTATTATTATTATTGCTTTTATTATTATTACTAGTATCATCATTACCATCATTAGCATCATCTCCTCCTCCTCCTCCTCCTCTCTCCTCTCCTCCCTCCTCCTCCTCCTCTCCTCCTCCTCTTCCTCTCCTCCTCCTCTCTTCCCTCCTCTCTCCTCTTCCTCCTCCCCTCTTCTCTTCCTCCTCTCCTC